ACTGAGCCGTGACCCTCGACCCCAGCAGAGCGGCCCGCGCCCTGGACGCCGCCTCACCAGCTTGGGCTTGAGCTGGTCCTCGCTGTCGCTGTGGCCCAGGCGGCCGTACCGGCCCTTGCCCCACGTGTAGAGGTCGCCGGCGGAGGTGACGCAGGCGCTGTGGGCTCCGCCGGCAGCGATGTCCACCACCTCGGTGCCTCTCAGAGACTCGACGACCCGAGGGCGGTCACAGGGACTGCAAAGAGGCCAGGAGCACGCCTGAGGCCGGGCGGACCCCCAGGCGGTGTCGCACGCAGGCTCTGGGCTCCGCGCTCACGCATTAGGCGTGCACTTCCCGATCTACACCCTCAAGTCGAACTCCTTGGCCTTTTTGTGTTTTTGCACTTAACTTCCCAGTCACAGCTGACGTACAGCGTTACGTCAGCTCCAGGGCACACCGGTGAGAGGCATCGCAACACTAAGTCCCACACCCGCTGCCCGTGCCCCGTCAGTGTCCCTGGCTGCCTCCGGGCTGCACCGAGTCCCTGACTGTGCTGTGACCCCCGTCTGCATGGCCGGCTCCCTCTCGTCCAGTCCCCGCCCTCCTCCCACTGACAGCCTCCTGGCGCTCTCTGTCCCACAGGCCCCACCGCCGCCTCAGTTTTTGGATTATTTTCTTTTTGCTGCTCTGACCGGTGTTCCTGCTTATCCTGCCCCGACTGCGACAATAACAAGACCCCCCAGCCCGGCGTGGGGCTCAGTGGCTGAGCGTCAGCCTAGGAACCAGGAGGTCACGGTTCCGTTCCCAGTCAGGGCACAGCCCGGGCTGCGGGCTCCATCCCCAGTGGGGGCGTGCAGGAGGCAGCCGGTCCATGATGCTCTCTCATCATTGACGTTCCCATCTCTCTCCCCCTCTCCCTGCCTCTCGGAAACTAATAAAAAAACCAACTCAGAATTGACCCCCGTTGAGGTACATGCACTTGCTCCCAGGAGCCCCCCTGAAGTGGATGTGGGGGATGCTGTGCTGAGGGCAGGGCTGACACAGACACGAGCCCGGAGCCCACGAGAAGGAGCGGCCCGAGCCGCACAGGTACCTGCGGTTGCCGTGGCCCAGCTTGCCGTCCTCGGCCTCGCCCCAGGAGTACACCTCTCCTTCGGAGGAGAGGGCGAGGCAGTGCTTGCCGCCCGAGTTCACGGCCACCTTCCTGATGAACACGTGCTGGATGGACTCGAGCAGCGTCGGGGTGGACACCGACTCCGTGCCCCCGACGCCGAGCCGGCCGCCGGCCCCGTACCCGGTGGCGTACAGCTAGGACGGGAGCAACAGGAACCGACTTTACCCCAAGAGCCCGCGTCGTGGTAACCGACGCCCAACCCGCGCTCTAGACGTTTCTCCCCAGAGAGAGCTGAGAACTGGAGCTGCACTGGTGCTTCCTCAGAGCAAGGCAGCTGCGACTACTTGAAAGACCAAGTTCACAAACTGCATTTGCACGTAAGGGCTGTTTTCTGGGGACATCTCTGCTTTTGCCCAGATGCCAACTATAACTCACGCCAAGAAAAACAAGAAAGGTTAGTTATTTACTGCCAGCAGGTCCCAGACACCCGCAGGAAACTTACTGTTTGGGACACTAAGTGTCTTTACCGTTAATTTTTAAAAACCAGACTGCCGTTTCCGAATGCACGTCACCCCTCCCTCCCATAGAACCTAAAGGCTGCAGAGCTGTGGAAGGGGGACCCCCACACAGGACGGACGTGAGCCAAGGTTGCAGGTGGACCCAGGAGGATGCCCGGCAGGCCCTGCTCTGCCCCCCGGCCGCCCCCCCAGCCCAGCGGGCCCTTCTCCCACAGGCGGGACCTGGCGAGGAGGCACCGGGTCCAGTCACAGACGATGGCTCGCTGTGAAGTGACCCCGCGAACCCTGAGCTACACGAGAGAAAGGAGTGAAGGAACTCGACACGGGGTCGCTTAAAGGACACACAAAGGCCAGCGAGTCCCACACACCAGCAGCGAGTGCTTCAGGGGCAGCAAAGAGACCCAGGAAGACGCCTCCTGAATCACGGCAGGAAACCACGGGAACACTTGTTTCCAAATGAAGCCTGCACGTTTGGAACCAGGAGTCCCGCAGGGATGCTCGGGGGGCCGCCTCCAGCACCCCAGGGCGACGCCTGGAGGCAAGGCCTCAGGAGTGCACACCCAGGACCACCCCCGCCCTGTGCCCGCCCCCGCGGTGTCCATGTCCACGATGGACGCACCCTACCTTCCCGTCGGCCGTGACCGCGAACAGAGTCTGCTCTCCGCCAATTAACTGCACGGGCCTGAGGGTGGCCAGGGCTTCGCAGGGAGTGGGCACCTTCACCTTGGCCCCCTCGATGCCCCCGAGCTGGCCCCTGTGGTTATGTCCCCACCCGTAGATCGTGCCGCTGCCACCGGCAGACAGAGTCCAGTCGTCCGGGCGCCTAGAGCCAAGGAAGCGAACAATGGAGGTGGGCGCTCCCCGCCCGAAGCGTGTCCCGCGCCCGCCGCTCCCGCCGCAGCGACCTGTTCATCCACTGCACCAGCTGCTCGTCGTGCTCCCTCCGGAAGACGTCGTGGCTCTCGTGCAGGACGTCCATGGCCTCGCCGTCCGCCATGAGCTCGCGGATCTTCTTCGCCACCTGGACGGCACACAGTGAGGCCATCACAGGGAAGGGCAGCACCAGCACTGGGGCCTCAGTAACAGGAAACCAGGGCTCCCCGTCTGAGCGTCACTGAGCGTCAGCACAGTCCCTGGTTCCCACGAGGGGCCCCCTCAGGGCACCGGCAGCGCCAGCAGCTGCACACTCTGGTGAAAGACAGCGCTGTGCTCTCCAGAGGCGACCCAACACCTGCGCGTACCTCGTCGAGAAACAGCCGGGGCAGCGGCGTCCTCCTGTCCAGGGCCACGGCCACGCGGGAGGCCATGCAGTACCTGCGGAACCAGGCCCACTTGTGCGTCTCGGCGCAGCAGGGCAGTGTGTCCAGCTCCAAGTCACAAGCAAGAGCCACCAGCACCTGCAAAGGGTCACGCAGGGTCACGCTGACACGCAGCCCAGACGGCCCCCGCGGAACCTCCCTGGGCACCCCTCCAGCCTGCTGCTCGCCGGCCGTGCTCACGGTCCCTGTGGCGGAGCTGTCCCTGCCCCGCTCCCGGCGACACCCCGACACACGCCCGCACAGGCCGCTCCCCCAGCCACGTTACCTTAAAGAAGGGGCTGTGCAGCAGCTGCTTGCCGCCCCGCACGACGGGGTCCTCGTACTCGAACTGCCTCTCCAGGGTCTCCGGGAGGCCTTTCACCAGCGCAGCCAGAGCGCTGCCCGTGAAGCTCTGCAGGGACACCTCACTGTAGCCCGCCCCGCCCGGGCTTGGCTGCTACGAGTTAACGGTCTAGTCTACTGGGCCCTTCTCCCTGGAACACGAGTGTGACGCGTTCACGCAGGGGGAGACCTCAAGGACGTGACAAGCCCCGGAACGGAAGGGGAGCTGCACTCCACCTCGGCGCTGGGTCAGTGAGGCAGCTCCCACGGCCCGCCCTCCGGCCACCCGCTCCCGGCGTGGTCAGGACCAGCAGTCCTCTAACAGTAGCCACCTCATCAGCAGAACAAAGACTCGTGGTCAAGCCCCACAGACGTGATCCCATGGTCACAGCCACCGAGACGCCGCTGCCTTTAAAGTCAAAGGCCGGCCGCACTCCGTATGTGGAGCAGCACGAGGGCGCCGGCGGTGACAAAGGCTGCCTTATGCTCCTGCCGCACTCCGGGAACTTCTCCAAGTGGGAGATTTCAACGCCTAAACGAACACCTGCCTCACTCCCTGGGTCACAGGTCTAGGACCTGGGCGTGGGCTCCCTACCAGGGCGCGCGCCTCCCCGTCGCTGTCCCCCAGCAGCCGGCGGATGTTGACCGACTGTCCAAACTCCGTCGTCAGCAGCTTCCTCAGCCTCTGAAGGGCCCACATTCTGTGACTGGCAGCTGGAAAGAGCAGACAGAGGACATCAGGAGCTCGACCACGGTTCCCCTCGCCCGCGACAGACATGGCGAAGAAGACGCCGCCTACCTAAGGCACTGAGCTGTGCGCACGCGGCCAGCGACGCGGCCAGGCGTGGGACGATGCTTCTGTTCGAGGCGAGGTTGAGCCGGAAGTCGAGCAGGCACGTCACCAGGTCCATGGACGGGCAGGAGAGGACACAGCGGTCGGAGAGGAGGTCTTTAGGGCCTGAGAGATGAGCACACGCATGTCCCGTGAGGAGACCGGCATGACCTGACCGACAGGCTCCCCACGCGGCAGAAGCAGGCAGACCGCAGCACGGAGCGTAAACGATGCACCCTCACGGCCGGGCACCCAGCCTGGAGCACCGCGGCCCCCCACCTGGGCACCGAGGCCCCTCACCTGAACACTGCGGGCCCCCACCTGGGCACCGCGGCCCCCCACCTGGACACCGCGGCCCCCCACCTGGACACCGCGGCCCCCCACCTGGGCACCTCGGCCCCTCACCTGGGCACCGCGGCCCCTCACCTGCGGCCGGCATGATGGGGTAGACGGTGAAGCGCCAGCCCCACCCGTTCACGGACCCGTCGCTGATGAACTTCCACTTCAGCTCATCCCCAGGGATGCGCAGCTCACTGGACCAGTCGGACCACTCCCGGCCTGGGGGGAAGCACACCGGGTAGGCTCACTCCCCGCACCAACATGAGCCTCTTCAGAGAGTCGTTCATGCAGCGTCTGCAGCACGTGTGGCGCCAGCCCAGGCTCCCCAAACTGGTGTTCACATGCCTCCAGGGGAGCCTCGCCCTTCAACACACACTGTGCTAAGTCCTGGGGAAACTGAGGCAGCAGCCTGGCCCTGACGGAAATGCACACACAACTGCCACGCAGTGTGAGGCCTGCAGGGCCACAGCCACCCTCGGGACAGGGGCCGGCTCAGCACAGAAGGGCCGCCCTCGGGGAGTGGAGCCGTCCGTGGGAGCCCAGGGCCAGGCCGCGTGAGTCACAGCCTGGTCCCTGCCTGGCGGGCTCTGCGGTGCAAGGGAGGGGCCATGGGAGCAGGGACCGGCCCAGCGGCCACCTGGCTGAAAGCTACGTCGCGTTTGTGAGGCTGCCAGGGAAAGCCCGAGCTCCTCTGGGACTGCACGCTCCGCCCGGGCGTTTGCAGGGCTTATAAGGAGCGTCTGATGAGGAGGCCCTGCTGGGCCGGGGGGAGGGGGGGAGGTCAGGGAAGGGCTGCCAGTCCTGCCCCAGACGGAGGATGGAGTCCGAGAAGATGCGCACAGACACTTCCCCTGGGAGACGCTGTGGGCACGTCAGCCTTCCCCTCCCCGGGCCTGGCACCCCCGGGCCTGGCACGCTTGGCGGGGCTACGTCGTTCCTGAAGGCAGGCAACGCCCCCCCTCCCCCACCTGAGCGCACGGAGACGATCCTGTTGACGCCGTCCATGACGGTGAGCGGGTCGTGGCGCCTCTCCGTGGAGCACTGCCGGTCAAACTCCACCCGGAGGCCTTCCGCACCTGGCAGGTGAGCAGAGCAGTGAGACCCCAGTGGGCACAGCTCGGCAAGACCAAAGCCACACACACCTGCGCTGTGCCCAAGGCGCCCACCTGACAGACACTATGCAGGACCCTATGCTGCATGGCTCCCTGTGCCACGTTCTATCCCGAAGAGGAAAAGGTTTTTAGGAAAGCGAGGAGTCTCATGCAGTTTTAAAATTCTGTTCTAGAGCCCCGGCCAGAGGCTCGGCTGGTTGGAGCGTCGTCCCCTCCATCAGATGGTGGCGGGTTCAATTCTGGTCAGGGCACAGGCCTAGGCTGCGGGTTCGAGTCCCGGTAGGGGAGTACACGGGAGGCAACCGATCCACATTTCTCTCTTACCTCGATCTTTCTCTCCCCCTTCCACTCTCTCAAGTCAATTTTAAAATATCCTTGAGTGAGGATTAAACCAATTCTGTCCTCTCAGCCGGCGATGGCCGCTCCCAGGATAGAACCCAGAGGTGCGGCCCGCGAGCCCCACCCCCGCACCTGGGATCTTCACGGTGCCGCTGGAGGAAGTGTCGTCCGTGTAGGGGTGGCTGCTCTCCACCACCACGGGCTGCGAGGACAGGCGGCCGCTCTGCGAGTCGGAGGCCACGTCCTCCAGCTCGGTGACGCAGAGCTCCAGCAGCATGTCCGCCACCTGCGGGGAGAGGGGCCAGGTCGGGAGGCCGCCCGCGCCAGGTCCTGCTGCAGGGACGGGGTGGCCACGGGGAGAACGGGGTGGCCGCGGGGAGAACGTGGGGGTCTGAGGACTCTGGTTCAGATCAGGGCTTGGTCTCCTCGCCTGCAAAATCAAGACGGCACAGGCTCGCAGAGGAGGGGCTGCGAAGCGTGGTGACCAGGGAGGAGCCGACATGGACACCCGCAGGTGCCGGGGGACAGAGCCTGTGATGGCAGGCGCGCCTGCTCCCCCAGGACGAGCGCTGCCCCGGGGGAGAGCCCGGGGGGAGAGCCTCGGAACAGAGGCGCCAGGGGAGGAGCAGCTGTGTGGCTGTTCGAACTTAAACCAAGTTAAAGAAAACGACACTTCGGGTTCCCGGGCGCACGGGCCACGTGTCCAGGCGCAGTGGCCGGGGAGCGGACGCTTCCACGGCAGAAAGTCCTGGGGGACCCAGGCTGCCAAACACCAAGACCTGAGTCACAGCTACAACAGCCACGGCACCGTGGTTAGAGCATAAGGATTAGATTCATGGGGCAGAAAAGCTTGTCGATGAGCCCACATGCACACAGGAATCACGGATACAAAAAGGTCGTTCCCAAATTCCTGATATTGTGGCCACATGTTTGTCATTCGGGGAAAATAAAGTTGGATCCCAACATATCCCTTATATCAAGATAAACCCCAGGTGGCTCAAAAAGACAAATGTGATCTATAAAAATAAAAGCATAATATGCGAATCAGACCGGACAACCTTCTGGACGAAGCCAGGGCTGCAGGGAAGCCCAGGTCCCGGGTGCCAGGGGGAAGCCGGTGTCGGCAGCCGGGGGAAGGGAGGCTACTCTTGCACGAATTTCGTGCCTTGGGCCTCTAGTCAATGAAGAAAGAAAAATTACTAGAAGAAATTGGTTTCTTTAAACAGTGCCATGGTTCTCAGCATAAAACAAAGTCCAGGAGCCGTAAAGGAAGCCCTGGCAGAGCTGACGCTGTCGAGATGAGGGACTGCTGAACGCGGACACGGGCATGCCAAGGCCCCGGGACACGGCAGCCCACGGGGCAGCGCAGGGCAGGGCTGGCTTACACGGAGCCCTTCCACCCTGCGTCTCCTGCACGGAGTCCATCACGGACAAGACGTGACGTCACAGCAGCACCACGGAGCGAAGGCCCCCTCCCGCCCTGCTCACCTGGGGGTAGGCGGTGCCCATGCCCGACAGCACGGCCGAAAGCACCTCGCGGCCCCGGTCGCCGGCCCGGCCGCACACGGACAGCTTGAGCAGGTCCACCAGCACCCGGGTGTCGTCGGCGACCAGCAGGCTGGTGAACTCGTCCAAGGCCTGAGGTTCTGGGCCCGAGGCCTTATTCTGGCTCTCGACGTCCTACAAGGCCCAACAGGAAGGGAGGAGCGACGTGTTAGAGCACCACCAGCTCACCCACAAGCTCCCAGAGATAAAGGGGGGCCTTCAGGAGGCGACAGGACCAGGAGGTTCCGGGGAGAAGCGACAGCCTTGGGGCCCCCCACCAGGACCCGAGCTTGAAACCCACCATCTCGGGCCTCACAGCTGGGACGGGACCGACCTGGCGGTGGGGTGGGAATCGCTGCCTGCATATCCCTGCGCGTGGGCCCATGTGACGGCTTAACACGAACAACGCTTGGTTTGCCATAACTTACAACTCACACCCAAATGAATGAAAACCCGCCACGCAACCACGACCAGTCCTAACGCACTCGGCCAGAAGCACCAGGGGCACCAGGCACCGGTGGGTGGACAGAGCACGGAGCCAGGTGTCTGCAGGGCCTCCAGGTACTTCTCTCCCGTGACGCTTGTGACCTGACACACAGTCACTGCCCGCAGTGGGGACACCTGGACGCTCACTGACACACAGTCACTGCCCGCAGTGGGGAGGCCTGGACGCTCACTGACACAGTCACTGCCCGCAGTGGGGAGGCCTGGACGCTCACTGACACAGTCACTGCCCGCAGTGGGGACACCTGGACGCTCACTGACACAGTCACTGCCCGCAGTGGGGACACCTGGACGCTCACTGACACAGTCACTGCCCACAGTGGGGACACCTGGACGCTCACTGACACAGTCACTGCCCGCAGTGGGGACGCCTGGACGCTCACTGACACAGTCACTGCCCGCAGTGGGGAGACCTGGACGCTCACTGACACAGTCACTGCCCGCAGTGGGGACACCTGGATGCTCACTGACACACAGTCACTGCCCGCAGTGGGGACACCTGGACGCTCACTGACACAGTCACTGCCCGCAGTGGGGAGGCCTGGACGCTCACTGACACAGTCACTGCCCGCAGTGGGGACACCTGGACGCTCACTGACACAGTCACTGCCCGCAGTGGGGACGCCTGGACGCTCACTGACACAGTCACTGCCCGCAGTGGGGAGGCCTGGACACTCACTGACACACAGTCACTGCCCACAGTGGGGACACCTGGCAGACACTCCTGAGCAAGTGATAAGGATTCGGGTCCCAGGTAAGGCTGCCAATCAACGCCCCCCGTCCCCTCCCCCCCCCACACACACTAAGGAGCGCACAGAGCCAGTGTCCGTCTGTGAGGACTAACGAGACAGCACACCCTGGGGCCCTGACCTGCAGGGACCTCCTGGGACAGGAGCCAGATCTGCGTGGAGAGGATGAGAAGCCCTGGCTGGCGGAGTGCGCACTGCGGCCGGGAGGGGAGGGTGGGCTGTGCCCAGCTCGCCCAGCGTGCAGGGAGCCACCTCTGTGCTGCCTCTGCAACCCCACGTGCGGTTAACAGGCTTTCAAAGCAGAACCATCAGGAAGCCCCCTGACCTCTTTGGCTTTGGTCATGGTTTCGGCGATGATGCTGGCAGCTCCCGGGTCATCTGTCACCGGGATGAACGGCCGAGAAGAGGCTGAGGAGGCAGACGGGGTCACGGCAGCAGGGGTCACAGCATCCTCAGAGGAGATCTGGTTTCAAAATCCAGGAAGAGCTCAGCAAAGTGCACACGTCCCAGACTCCTCAAAGCCTCACCTGAGAGCCCTCTGGCCGCCCGGGCGCCCCGAGGCTGCAGCCAGATGTCACAGTGGGGACAGCGCTTCCCCCCAGCGGGGCTGGCAGCCTGCACCAGGCACTCCTGGTCCCAGGGACACCTGGCGACACCAGGACAGGTCGCAGGAAGAGACTAAATGAGCTCCCATCTCTTCAAGCTGATTTAGCCCCAAAATAAGTTACAAAATATTGACTTTCAAGAAGCATAAGGTTTCGTAATTGCAGACAAAGGACTATGGACTTGCATTTAGCATCTTTTCGAAAGAATAAATCAAGTTCCATTTAATGCTTAAAAAAAAAGCCTCCTTTTTAAAAAGAATATTTTCTATTCAAGCCCCAAATCACAGCAACAGGCAGGAAGGAAACACGGAACGAAGTGAGACAATGACCTGGACTCTCCAGCCCTCCCCTCTGACGAACGCTACTCACGCACTCACCTCCCCTCGCTTCTCCTGCCAGGGACTGGGGCTCGGTCTGTCCTCGGGGTCAGCAGCCAGCAAGCACGCCTCTCCGCTCACGGGACTGGCCGTGGCGGACGCCTCGGAAGGGGGTGCCGAGGAGGAGAAGGAGGGGCACTCCGGGGCGATCATGCTGGCCGGCATCAGGGCCCCCACCACGGCGTCTCTGTCAGGAGGGAGGGGCCTGGTGAGCCGCCTTCCCCGCGCAGGACAGCGGCAGGAGCGGGCGGGCACCGGGGAAGGACGCCCTCGTTTCCACAGGACACACGGTAAAGCGTTTTGGAAAAACACTGAACATTATCACAAGGGACTCACTGCCTGGAAGCTAAGAGTTACTCCTGATCTTACGTATCCGAACGCCTAGTGACAACGAGAAAACTGCCGAACGCAAACATCACAGCAGGGCAAGCCCCTGGATGCCCTGGGAAACCCGACGGCCCCGTCGGATCCCAAGGGGGTTCTGTGTGGAAGCTGCAGCCGGGGCAGCTCCCAGGAGCAGCAGCACCCATGTCCTCTCAGGGCTGCATGGCCTCTGTCTGCACCTGCAGCCCCTGAAGGTGCTCCCTCCTCGCCCCGGCCCCTGCAGGTGCTCCCTCCTCGCCCCAGCCCCTGCAGGTGCTCCCTCCTCGCCCCGGCCCCTGCAGGTGCTCCCTCCTCGCCCCGGCCCCTGCAGGTGCGCCCTCCTCGCCCCGGCCCCTGCAGGTGCGCCCTCCACGCCCCGGCCCCTGCAGGTGCTCCCTCCTCGCCCCGGCCCCTGCAGGTGCTCCCTCCACGCCCCGGCCCCTGCAGGTGCTCCCTCCTCGCCCCAGCCCCTGCAGGTGCTCCCTCCACGCCCCAGCCCCTGCAGGTGCGCCCTCCTCGCCCCGGCCCCTGCCATGACCACTGAGAGGCTAGACAACAGCGTGAAAGGTTGGAAAACATCCACTTCTGCCATGACCACTGAGAGGCTAGACAACAGCGTGAAAGGTTGGAAAACATCCACTTATCCAACTCTGCCCTGAGGAGTGTCTGAGCGAGGGGACGGGGTCTGAGCATTCCTGAGCAGCAGCATCAATGATGCTGCCTCTGCCCCATATTCATGCTTAGAGTTCATTGGCCAGAGAGAGTCACACAATGTCCTCTGACTTGGCTTTCTGACTCTCGTTTCAAGAACCAAAGCGCACGGGACCTGAAACACTGTCTACAGACAACACCCCGTTCTGTGAGACATCTGGTTAATCAAAAAGCTGCACAAACCCAAGTCTGACGTGATGGCGGGATCTCAAAAGCTAGCGAACCAGCCCACCTGGCGTACGTGATCTGCAAGGCGTTGAGCACGTGAGACAAGGCCTGCTGCTTGGCCAGGTTCCCGTCCAGGGACAGGAGGGTCTTGGCGAGAGAAGGGCGGCCGGGCTTGGAGCTGCCCGCACCGCTGAGTTTGTTGTTGGCAGCAGAAGACTCGGCATCGGAAGGCACACCTGAGAGAAAATGAGAACTTGGGTTTGATTTTTCTTAAGATTGGATTTTGTTCTGTTTCTGTAATTTAATCTTTCAGTTTAGTTCCAAAACACATTGCAATCTGCATTCTGCTATTTCACAGATGAAGTATTAGGTTCATGAATGGTCTTTCAGAATAAAAAGATGCACTTTATTTATACTCTATAAAGAAGCTATTTTCAGCAAAGTTTTACTGTAATTGCAAGACAACGTAGACGTGTTTGTAAATGCATGAAAGTGACTAAAAATATTCTCAGAATTTGATAAAAATCATAAACCCAAACACCCAAGAAGCACAATGAGCTGCAGCCATGAAAACCATGAAGATAACGACCCCAAGGCACACTGTCATGAAACTGCTCAACCCCAGGGACGAAAAAAAAATCTTAAAAGCAATCTGAGAAAAAAAACAGGTCGTGTGTAAAAGAACAAAGATAAAAACAACAGCAAATTCTCAAGGAAAAGAATGCAAGTTAGAAAACAACGGGACCATGTCTTTAACGCAGCGGAAGGAAAAGCTGCCAACCTGGAATTCTATACCCAGCCAAGCCCTAGTGCCAGAGAAGCAGGACGACGACGAATAAGGTGCTAAAGGAGCGTCACGTGCGCCTGGACTTCGGCGTTTGCAGGTGCCATGTCAACGCGAGGGAGACGACACCAACCACCCACGCTCACTGTGTCAGCTTCGTGGAAGGAGCGGCCGAGGCGCCCAGCAGCCGGCACGATGCCTGTGCGCGTCGGCTGTGACTACAGTCCTCTCGTGAGCACGCGCACAGCACAGAACCAGCATCGCACGCCTCCTAAGGCCCCGCGCCAGCTCGTGCACCACGGTCACCCGGGGCTTTGGTGCAGAAGGGATGACACCATGACCTCTGACCTGGGCACGAGGGACTTCCTAGGAGGACCCCCGCCAAACCAGTCGGCTACCTAGATAGGAAGCACCCAGCGGGTCCCTCGCCGTCTGGAACAGGACGGGCTCGTGCACAGAGGGCGTGGCCATGTCGACAGTCGTCCAGGCCACGCTGTGCGAAGACCCGCAGGCCACTCGCGTGATCTTCTGTCCCTCCAGGCCTTGCACCAGGGTGGGCTTCCTGTTCACGGTGGTCGTGCCGTTGCCCTGCTGGCCATGGTCATTGTCGCCCCAGGCGTAGACCTGTTAAAGGGGAGAAACCAATTTTTCAACGTTTCAGAACCTTTCCTTTAGATGCCCTTCCCCATCCTTGCCGTGACTATAAGCGATCATCCCTCAACGTCACTCCCACGAGTTCCCCTCCCTCTGCGAGAGGAGGCGGGCGGTCTCTTCCCTACATGTGGTCACATTCCCCCTCCACTTTGCAAAGGGAAGCGCTCACAGTGTCTCAGTTTCCACGCACGGCAGTGCCCCTGACCACGGGTCTGCTTCCATGGTCTCAGTGGCCCCCTGTCCACCACGGGCCACAGCCACTCCCACAGCCCAGGTGCCAGGCAGGAGCCGCCAGGCAGGAGCCACCCTGGACAGACGCCCGTCCCTGGCAGGACCACCAACACCCACCCACCCAGACAGGGACCAGGCACACACCCCCTGAACCTAACGTGCACACCTCTGGGGTTTGGGAGGAGCCTGACTCCCCAGAGAAAACCCACAGACACGGAGCCCCTGCAAGCCCCACGTAGGCAGTGGCCTGGCCTGGAACTGGTTTTTTTCTCATCAATGTTCTATCAAAGTGGCACTAATGACACATCTCATCAGCGCGAGCTCCCCCTTGGACACGGGCTCGCCACGCCCTCACTCACCTGCCCTGCGTCCGTGACCGCCAGGCAGTGCAGGGCCCCGACGGCCACGTGCACGATCTTCTTCCCTCGGAGCCCTTCCACCACCTGTGGCTTCCGCACGTGCACGTCCGAGCCGTGGCCCAGCCTGAAGTAGTCCCCCTTGCCCCTGCGGGAGGTCCACGGTGCGTTAGCCCTGGCTGGGGCTGCTCAGCAGGGAGAGCTTCAGCCGTGGACTGAAGGGTCACGGGTTCGATTCCGGTCAAGGGCACATGCCTGGTTTGCAGGCTGGATTCCCAGCCCCGGTCGGGGCATGTGCGGGAGGCAACCAATCGATGAATCGACGTCTCTCTCACATCGATGTTTCTCTCCCCCAACCTCCCCTCTCTCTAAAAATCAATGGAGAAAAAATATCCTTGGGTGAAGATTAACCAAACAACAAAAACGCAAAACCAAGCCGGTGTGCTGCAGTCCAGGCGACAGCCTGCACGCTCGACAGGGAAGCGCTCCTGGCTAGGGCATCCGAGCGGCTCGAGGGCAAGGCCACCTGAGCCACAGGCTTTGAATTCCTGCCTCAGTCAGCACACCACCTCCTCTGCTGGCGAAAGCCTAGTGGTGTCCCCATGTTGAAATTACTGATGCAGGTTTTCACATAGAGACTGAAAACACAACCAGTGACCTGGAATGCCGCCCGAGCGTCCCTGGTGGTGGCCTGGCTCGCGCTGCTCTGGGCCCTGATGCTCATGCTAAGCCTGTCCCTCTTCCCAGGCCAGCTGGTGCCCGCTCCCCTCAGACTTAATAAAACCAGCTTCACAAGAAACACCAGGCCCTGACGCGAGAAGGCAGAGGAGCCCTGGACAGACTCCCCTCCGCTGGAAGGACAAGCTGGCCCCCGGCCCTCCGTGCTCTTTCCCGACACCCAGTGACAGCGGGAACTGCCTCCGAGCCTGCGGGCCCCCAACGTGAAACAGAGGGAGGATGGAGATGCTTGGGAGCAAGGACCCAGCGGCTCAGCCCCCCACGGGCACAGAGAGGGCACATGCCCGCACGTCACGCACAGCGGCGGGGCAGGCGGTACCTACCACGTCCACACCACTCCCGACTTGGTGAGCGCCAGGGAGAACTGGGCGCCGCACTCGATCTGGCACACGCCCTGTCCGTTCAGCCTCTCGATGTTCTGGGGCACGTTACAGCCTTCGCTTCCTCCCCGGCCCAGCTTTCCAAAGTCGCCGTCGCCCCAGGAGAACACCAGGCCTGGGGGAGGGAGAGGCCTTCAGCCGGGTCCCGGGTCCCGGGCCGCCCCCCCCGGGGGCAACGGAGCCGGCTCACCTTCGTCGGTCAGAGCCAGGGTCTGCGCGTCTCGGCTCCCACAGGCGACCTGGATCACTCTGTGCCCCAGGAGCACTTTCACCTGCGGGACAAGGGGACAGTCACGCACGCACGGCGGGAAAGCGAGGGAGGCCTTCCCAGACCCGAGCACGCGCTGCCCGAGGCGGCAGGTGGCGAGCGCCCCGTAGGCACCAGGCGGGCGCTCACCATCTTGGGCTTCAGCTGCGTCGTGTTGTCCCCGTGCCCCAGCCGGCCGTACTCCCCAAGGCCCCAGGTGTAGAGCTCGCCGCTGGATGTGAGGGCCGCGCTGTGCGAGCTCCCGCAGGCGATGTCCCGGATGCGCTTGGTCTTCAGGGCCTCGATCAGCCGCGGCTTGTCACAGTTCCTGGAGCAAATGAGCAACGTGCCCTGACCAACCCAGCTTGTGTGTAAAGAGGAAAAAAGGAGCCCTAGCTGGTGTGGCCCAGTGGACAGAGTGTCGACCTGCGGACTGAAGGTCCCAGGTTTGATTCCGGTCAGGGCACATGCTTGGGATGTGGGCTCCATCTCCAGTAGGCAGCGTGCAGGAGGCAGCCGATCCATGATTCTCTCTCATCATGGATGTTTCTCTCTCTCTCTCTCTCCCCCTCTCTCCCTCTACCTTCCTCTCTGAAATCAATGATAAAAAAAAAAAAGAAGACATCTACACAGATCTACACGTACAGATCAACTTAACAAGACCCAGCCTTTAATACAGAATGGGGAGGCGAAGGCATGCTCACAGCTGCTGCTCTAAGACAGCTTCCAGCCCCTTCTCATGAGTTACTGTCCTGTTTACTTTTCTGCAGAATCGCGTGCCAAGGCCTGCACCCTGATGGGGATGGGCTCGTGTGGCCGGCGCGAGGGCAGGGCCCTTACATCCGGCTGAAGTGGCCCAGCTTGCCGTCGTCCCCTTCGCCCCAGGAGAACACCTTCCCGTCGACCGTCAGAGCCGTGGCGTGCCGGCCACCTGCAATCACACAGGGGCGGGCGCTCAAAGGTGGGCACACACAGGGCACAGGTAGCCCCGTTCCTTCTGCCCGGCGTGCAGCACGCACACATCTCGGGACAAGTACATAGACAAAGGGAGCTTTTATGAAGCTACAGAGTTGGCGTCCCAGGAAGGATTTTACTTTCAAAGCAGCAGCACAATAACCTTGCTGTTAACGGGGCTCCTGCTGTTAATCTGTGAAGACCACACGTCAGGGGAGAGGGAAATACGCGCGTCTGTGACCAGGCAACCACCAAAGGCCCCAGAGACCGCGTGTCTGGGCCGCCCGCAGGGTCACTTCAGCAAAACGCCCCCATCGGCAGTTCGGGCGTCCCTGCACTCTCCCCACAAGGACCTCCTCCCAGCCCTCCCCCTCCACCCCCCACCCCACGGGCCTGTGCCCCCCTGCCAGCTCCCAGGCTCTCGCCCGCCTAGTCCTCCGTGGCAGGACCAGGTGGAGGGCAGCAACGAGCTGGCCCAGAGAGGACGGAGACAGAGATGGGACGGGTGGGGCTCTGGGTGGCCGCTGACCTGGCAGAGCGGCCGTACTGGCCGGGACCCTTCCCAGAGAAAAGGGACATGCCCTTTGCTCGGCCTCTGTTCTGGGGCCTCTCATGGTGTGAGCCCCACCTTTCGTACAGACACAACGCATCCCATGCTCAGGCCTGCAGTGCCCGGCAGGGCTGGCCGAGCTGCAGGAGCGTGACTTTTCTAAGGGCTTCTCTTTCCACTGGGGCTCAGACACTGGGGCTCGAAAGGCGACAGGCTCTCCCAGCAAGGACACACCTCTGAGCGTGCGCAGGAGGGTGCAGAGGCGCTGGGACGCTGAGCCGGGGAGGGGCACGGGAGGGCACCTCAGAGAGAGCTACTGAAGGGCCCAGGCTCCTCGGTGCCCGAGAGCCACGCCTGGCAGGTACCTGAGTGCACGGCCACCTTCTTGACCACGTAGCTGCTGAGCGCCGTGACCTGCCGGGGGATGGGCACGGTGCCGCTGGACATGCCCAGCCCCAGCCGGCCGTTGGTGGCCTCGCCGCAGGCGTACACCTTGCCCTCCACGGTCACTGTGGGCAGAGCGGGGGCAGGGCTCAGCTCAGACGCCACAGCAGGGTTTTCGGCGTGGAGCACAAGGGACCCGTTTTTAATGCGGGAGGAATTGTACCTGCAAACAGACTCTTGGAGCCACCCGCCACCTGCACGACATTCAGAGCCGACAGCGTCTCCGAGAACGAAGGAACCTTTATCTGGAACAGGATGTTTTGTTAAAACATGGAAAACACAGTTTCACTTACACTTCTAAGATTACCAGTAACTTAGCAGACGATACAAGGAATCACGCGATTTGCATGACAACAATGACCAGAGGTCACTTTTTCTCTGGGTCGCACATGGGGGGGTGGGTGGGCCCTGAGGCTGGCCCGTGTGCGGAGCCCCCTCCATCCCCCCCCAGGCAGCTCCGGCCCAGGTACCTTGGAGCCCTTGAGGCCGCCCAGCTGGTCCTTGTCGTTCAGGCCCCACACGAACACTTTGGTTCTGATTGTGGCCGCCGACTCCAGCCCCGCAGCCTTCTTCCTGATGAGGCTGCCAGAGGGAAAGACAGGCCGTTCAGCATGAAAAATGTTTCAGAACGAAAAGCAAAGCCGCCTCGAGCACATGGCTGCTCATTTCTGTCAGAAACAATGTCCGAACCCTGGGGCCTCGAGTCACACAGGAATCAGCCTGCACAGCTCCCATGTCTGCCTCCCCGCCCGGTGCCTTTTCATAAGGAACTTAGTTCCCGCCTGTTCCCGGGGGAGGGCTCTGAGCTGAGCACCACAGCTGCTGGCAGACGAGCAGCTCCTACCGTCCCTGGAGAAGAGCCCCCAGTGGGCCCGGCACTGTGGCCAGGTCCCTGAGGCCAGACACGGGCCTGGTCGCTTCTCCCCAGAAAGACGGTCACAGGCGTCCCCACAGAGCTCCGAGGCGCGCTTCCTGTTTACCCTCTGCCAGCGCACGCGCCCACCCGCGTCCAGGAGGCTGCCCACTGGAGCCCCTCCTGCCCTCAGCGCTCAGGGCTCATCGATGCGGCACGCCCGCCTTGGCCTCGGGACACAGAGCGCCCGGGACTGGTGCCCGACGCTCCTTCGGTGCTCGAGGCTCCTGGCCTCCGTGTGCTTTGCTCTCTGTCTGTGAGTTGGGATGGAACCCAGGGTTCCAGAGACCAGGCCCTAGCGAGGTCACGTTTCTTCACGCTGACTTCACGAAGAATATTGCAGGGTGTAGCTCTCATCTGACACAGGCACAGGTTTGACCCCGGAGGGGCATATGGAGGCAGCCGTGGACGTTTCTCCCACACTGACGTCTCTGCCTCTCTCCCTTGCTCCCTCTCTAAGTCAACATGGGAAGTTTTATGTATATTTTATAACAATAACGTTTTCAGTTTAAAAGTAAACAATAAGACACTTAGCAAAGCAAGTTATAAATACACCCCGTGCCATACCGTTTCCACAGGAAACACGATCAGGGACAGTCAGAAAGGAAACTACAGGACTGACACCAAAGGGTTAACTGTGACTTTCGTTAGAAAAATCAAACGTTTTTATTTCCTTATTTGAAAGGTATTTTTCTAAACACAACGTATTTCTGCATCAAACACTTCCCTGAGTTGAATCAAATGGTAATTGTTGAGAGCCGACCGCGTGTGCCCGACACGCCGGGTGCCCTGGAGACCAGGGGACCTGGCACGAGCCCCAGCCCCGCACTCACCTCCCGGCGCCGCCCTTCTCGTCCTCCTCCTCCTCGTTGTCAGAGGCGAGGAAGGGCACGGCGGCCCAGTCCTCCTCCTCGGCGCGCACGCGCCCCAGCAGCACGAGGCCGTGGATCTTGCAGTCGATGCCCGAGCTCCGGCACTGCTTGATGGCGATCTCGATGTACCTGTGGTACTGGACACGCACCGGGAGCTGCAGACCCCGGGGCCACACCCTCCACCCTGAGTGGCCAGGACCGGTCAGCCCTGGACGTGTGCTAAGGTGCGTCCTGTCCCTACGTCCTGGAGACCCCCAGCCAGGGGCAGGTCAGGCTGGGGGGCCGGGGACTCAGTGTTTGTCTCACAGACATGAGGGACCAGAGCCTCCCGCGTGGCCGCAAGCCTCTGCCTCAGAGCTCCCCGAACAAGACGTCCTGGGAAGGAGGCGGTCGGAGCCTTCACAACACTCCAGACAGGACAGACGTGCCTGTCTGCCTCTGGAGAGGACAGAGCAGAGCCCCGGACTCCGTCCCCTGCTGAGCAAGCACAGCCTACGACCGATTCAGCGCAGCAGGGAGGCCCTCGGCATGAAGACGCGCCCGGCGCCGGGACCCCGTGGCTGCGGGAAACCGCGCTCACAGATGAGAGTGGCACACGGGCCGGCTGCCTGCGGGCGCCAGGCCACTTCCACCACGGTGAGGAGATGCAGGCAGGAGACGGGCCCGCCCGCCACTCACCTCTGTGCAGTCGCTCAGCAGGGACACTGTGGTGTCGGTGGGGCTGATGTTGATGGTCTTCAGTTCAATGAGGTTATTCAGGGAGTTCCCGCCTGGGAGAGAGGAAGGGAGACGAGCATCAGACCAGGAGGTCCCATGCTCTGACGGAGGGCACTCGGAGCCAACGCCCTCGTACCTGACACCACGACCAGGGAGGGCATGTAGCTGCTGTCCGCAGGGTCGACGGTCATTTTCAGTCGATGGACCAGGACGTCGGGGAAAATCTCCAAGCGGATCCAGTGCTTTAAAAAGAAAGCAACCCCAGTCAGTGAGGCCCCGCTCGACTGTAGCTGCTAAGGTCGTATCAGCAAAGCCCGAACCAGCACGGGACTGTAAACCCCATCGTGTGGCCTGAGAGACAGACTCTCCTCGGAGCTCCTCCCCCCTCGCTTCTGAGCAGCCGTCAGACGTGGCCACAGAAAACACGAGTCCAGTGGGGAGAGCGCCTGCTCCACATCTGTCCTGCGTAGCCCCGGGAGGCTCCCCCTCCCCCCACATAAGTGCAAACACACAACATCCCACAGGCCCAGACGTGCGAGAGGAACTTCTGACAGAGCAGCATTGGGGTGGGAGGCTGCAGGAGGGGGCGTAGGACATGACCCTGTCACACCTCCTGTTAGTGGGTCCTTAGACAAAACCTGCTCCCGATATTGTTTAAAACCTCAGACAGTGAACACTGGATGGTATATTTAGAATAATTATAAACTGCCCTAGCAGGTCTGGCTACGTGGTTAGTGTTGTCCCGCAGACCTGAGGGTCTCGGGTTCGATTCCTGGTCAAGGGCACGGACCTCAGTCGCAGATTCTATCCCCGGCTCTGGTCTGGGCGTGTGCGGGAGGCAACCAGTCCATGTGTCTCTCTCACACCCATGCTCCTCTCCCTCTCCCTCCCTCTCTCTCTCCTCCCCTTCTCCCTCCCTTCCACTCCATCTGAAGGTCAATGGAAAAAATATCCTTGGGTGGGGACTTAAAAATAAACAGATAAATAAAGTATAATCCTATTAATAAAAGACTAATATGCAAAATGTCCCCCTGACTGGGAGTTCAACTGGGAGTTCAACCAGGGGGAGGGGCTGGCCCCACCAGTGCATGAATTCGTGCACCGGGCCTCTAACAATAATAATAAACGGAAATGTGCACTAAGCCCTGAGGGACCGTCACAATATGATCGAGTGGCTTCCAAGTCCAGGGAAGCTCTGAGGTGAGGCGTCAGGGCAGGGTCTGGGTTGCCCTACCTTGCCCTGGGACCCGGAGGACTGCCAGCAGGGCTCGCTGCCGTCGATGAGCCGTGAGGCCTGGTTCACGGAGGAGGACACATGCAGGCTCTTCACCATGCGGGACCAGCTGTCCAGCAGGGCGCCCGGCTGGCTGCTGGGGCCCCGCTTCAGCTGCTTTCCCGAGCGGCCGCAGAAGACGGCTGACTGTCCTGTGGGCGGTGAGCAAGTGTTAGAGCGCGTGCTGCACACCAGGAAGCAAAGAAGTTACACAGCGATGAGCTCCCTCCTTTATGCATACACAAGAGGCCCAGCACACGAGATTCGTGCACTGGGGTGGGGGTGGGGGGGCGGGCCCTCAGCCCAGCCTGCGCCCTCTTGCAGTTCAGGAGCCCTCGGGGGATGTCCAACTGATGGCGTAGGCCTGCTTCCTGCGGGGAGAGGGCCTAAGCTGGCAGTCAGGCATCCTTAGCCCTGTCACGGAGGCAGGAGAGGCTCCCACCACCACCACCGTGCTCGCCAGCCGTGAGCCTGGCTTCTGGCTGAGCGGTGCTCCCCCTGTAGGAGCGCACTGACCACCAGGGGGCAGCTCCTGCATTGAGCGTCTGCCCCCGGTGGTCAGTGCGCTTTATAGCAACTGGTCGTTTAGCCGTTCCGTCGATTTGCATATTAGCCTTTTATTATATAGAATGTAGACGTACATATACATACATGTACATATTGATTTCAGAAAGGAAGGGAGAGGGAGAGAGACAGAAACATCAGTGATAAGAGGGAATCACCAATGGGCTGCCTCCTGCACGCCCCACACTGGGGATCAAGCCCACAACCCGGCCATGTGCCCTGACCGGGAATCGAACTGTGACCTCCTGGTTCATGGATTGACGCTCAGCCCCTGAGCCCCCCGGCCAGGTGAGACACAAGCAAACAAACCCTGTGGCTCTAGTTCCCGTGGCCTCCACCAGCTGTGGGCAGGCTGTCCTCCCGCCCCACCGTGGACACGGGGTGCTCACGGCACACACACGGACACAGAGCACAGAGCACGGCGGTGCCGGCCCGGCCTCGTTCAGAGCAGGCCCGCCTCACCTGGCTCGTTGATTCTGCCGAACGTGTGCCGGGGGCTGTGCCTCCGGGTCTTGAAGCACGGCTCACAGAAGTCAAAGTCGTCGCAGTTCCTGCACTTGAACCGGGACCCGTTGATGGGGAACACCTGGCAGCCGTCGCATCTGTTTCGAGAGAGGAGGTCACGTGCTGCCCTTCATTCCCCCGAGAGCCAGCCCCCCGCCCCCCCATGACCTGCGGCCGACAAACACTCACGTGACGCCGGGGTGCACGCTGGGCACCAGCTCCATCTCGGAGAGCAGCCCGGTCCAGTGGGACTGCTGCGGGAAGTCCACGATGACGTCCTTCCCGTTGGCGCTGAAGGCTGGGGGCACAGACACTGCCTGGGCGCCGGCCCCAGAAGCACCCACACCTAAAGCCAAGACCGCCCTCGCCGTGCGACGTCCGACGTGGCGACTGAGGTCTCACGCGGAGAGCCTCTCTCAGCGCCACGTGGACACGCCAGGACCAGCTAGCCCGCGTGCCAGGGGTCACTTCACATACGGAGGGGCCTGGGGGCACGCATCGGGCCCACGGAGGCTCCCTGTGCGCTGCTCTCTAGCTGGACCCGTGACCTCCCCACAGTGAGGCGGGCTTGCTTTCCGCGACACCACGCCCACGCAGTGCGCCCGGAACGGCCACGGTCACCAAAGCCCCTCGGAGGCCCTGGGACGAGAGCTCTCACTCGGAGCGTTCACTCTGACACCAAGCTCTTGTTTCTGAAGTCCACCCGGGTCTGACTTGTGAAGCTCTTTGCTAAGAAAGATTCCAGCTAAAGAGGAACGTCAGCGAGCCCACCCCCTGCAGTGTGAGCGTCTGCCCTGCCCTGGGCAGCACCGCGGGGCGTGTCTAAACCCACCCCCCCCCCCCACCTGCAGGAGTTTTCCACGACGCTCAGAACAGAGCGGGACTTCTCTACGGACGGAACGAGTTCAAAGGTAAAATTAAAGCAAACGCAAACTTAATTTAACTTCTCACGCAACTGTTCAAGCGGACACACCGTGCCTTTTGAAGTATGCTCAACATCACATTAAGTATCAATGGAGAACTGTGTCTCCAGTTCCTTCTTGCCATCGCTTGCACATTTCCATTCTTAAACTTGGTCCTACGTTTTTATAAAGTATTAAGAAAAAGAGAAAAATGGCCCCAGTCCGAGGGAGCTGTCCAGCCGCTCACATACGGGCTGCTGGGCAGGATGCTGGACAGAGCATCCCAGACAGGCCACCCTGGGACGGCCGGGTGGAGACAAGGACCACAGGCACATCTGACCAAGTTCAAGTCGCCCCAAACCAGCAACTAGGCCCCGCCCAGCGGCCAGGGCCACCTGCCTCCTCCAGTAACTTCCTCCTGGCTCTGTCCTGCCTCCTGGGGAATACAGTAGGTCCTCGGGTTACGTCGGAGAGCCGTTCCTACGGCGATGTAATGCGATTTTCACCGTAAGTCGGAACCCACCTACATAAGCACCTACGTCACTGACAAGGAGCACATACACAGCAGTAATGAAGTGAAGCAGTAAAAAAATTTAAAAGGTAACAATTCCTGACCTTTACTTGTGGTAAATCCTATCTAATAAGGAGGGAATATGCTAAATGACCCTCACACTGTTGCAAAGATGGTGGCACCCACAGCCAATAAGGAGGAAATATGCTAATTGACTGCCCCGCCCTCAAAGATGACGGTGCCCACAGCCACAAGATGGCCGGCAGGGAAGGACAATTAGGGGCAATCAGGCCTGCAGGGAGGACAGTTGGGGAGACGGCTGCAGGGAGCAGTTAGGTGTTGATCAGGCTGGCAGGGGAGCAGTTAGGCGTCGATCAGGCTGGCAGGGGAGCGGTTAGGTGGTGATCAGGCAGGCAGGGGAGCGGTTAGGGGGTGGTCAGGCTGGCAGGGGAGCGGTTAGGTGGTGATCAGGCAGGCAGGCAGGCGAGCAGCTGGGAGCCAGCAGTCCTGAACTGTGAGAGGGATGTCCGATCCCACAGGGTTAGGGTCAGGGTTAGTCCTACAGGGATAGGGCCTAAACCGACAGTCGCACATCCCCCGAGGGGTCCCAGATTGGAGAGGGTGCAGGCTGGGCTGAGGGACACCTCCTAACCCCGTGCACGAATTTCGTGCACCGGGCCTCTAGTAAAGAATAAAAAACATAAAGCACACATGTACATACGTCGAAATGACGGAACTTTTTTTTTTATAAATAAATGGGAGATGCGACGTAACCACGAAACGATGTACGTCGAGTCCGACGTAACCCGAGGACTGTCTGTACTTACTAAGATTCCCATTCTTAGCGTTACCCGCTTCCTTGAACCTTCCCCAAAGTATCCGCAGAGGCACCCTGAGCTCCAGGGCACACGCCCTCCCCACCTGCCACGACGGTGCTCCCACCTGGAGCAGGACCACAGAGCCCGGCTCGCAGGCCACCGGCTTTCCTCACGCGTTTCTCTCCCCGTGAGCGAGGGGAAACAGTCTCCGTGGGCTGAGAGAAGCAAGCACTTGGTGCTGCCGAGAGGGCGTTACCTTTCACGACGCCCACGCTCTGGTGCGTCACGGAGCCCCACTTGTACTTCGGGGTGGTCACCGCGGCTTTGACCCGCACCTTGTCTCCGATCTTGATGTGGGCCGGGAAGCTCGGGGGAGGGTAGCCTAGAGATGCCGACGGGAGGAGCTGAGGTGAGCACGGCTGGCACTGTCCGGGCCGGGGGGGCGGGGCGCGGGCGGGGGCTCACCTAGGAGCTCCACGTGGATGTACCGCACCCAGTAGGTGCCCCCCTTGTGCTGCCAGTCGCTCTGCACGTTGAGGTCGTGCAGCCCGTCGCGGTCCAGCTTGATCACCTTGCCCACGTCTCCCTCGCACACCTCCTCGTACGTCCGGCAGCACCGCACCATCATGCCCACCTCAAGTGACAACCAGATGGGAAGTCAGCCCGGTGTGCGGCCGAGGAGGTGGCCGTGAGAGCAGCGCCACTGCTCCTGGGACGGCTTCCTCCCCACAGAGCGCCAAGCCTTTCTCGCTGAGGGAACCAGGGCTCCTTGGGAAGCTGCGTGCTCGCGGTCAGGGGCAGGAAGCGCCCGGGGAGCCTGGGCCACCTCGTGCCATAAGGCAAGGGAGCGAGCAGAGATGAACGGTTCACGCAAAAGAACGCCCGACCAAGAGGGACGAGGGCCAGCGCACACCAAACCCCGAGGGCACACGTGTTGGCCGTGAGGAAGGTCTGGTGCCTCCGTGAGAGCAGGGCACCGTCTCCGCTCAGGACAAACCCAGCACGTCCCCTTCCCTTCCTCCATAAACCATGACAGGGGGCCTCTGTGCGGTGCATGCTGCTTGCCCTCGGCCTCTCCCAGACGCGGGAGCAGGACCTGTGTGCGCGCCTGAGGCGGCTCTGGCCCAGCAGCTGCTCACCTGGATGTTCTCCCGCACGTACACGGCGTAGTCGTCGTTGCTCAGGAAGTCCGCTCGCTTCTTGTACGTCTGGCTCTCCGTCACCACGGCCCCAGAAGACTGCAAAAGGTCAAGTGCATTTTAAAACACAGGGACACAGATGACCCTCCTGAGAGGAACTGTGTGAAACCTACAACACGAAGAACTAGTGTGAAATAGTCACCGGTTTCCCTGCAACCCATCTGGGGGGAGGAGCAAGGAGAAGGCCTCCCTTGGAAAGACGGGAGAAGGGACTCTGAGCCACTGACAAGCCAGCCCCGCATCCGAGAGACCAGCAGCACCAGCCCCACCGGCGGGTGCCTCTCGGAGCCCAGAGCACAGACACCTCCAAGGCACTGCCCATCCATCCACAAAACCATCTGCTCAGGTCAGAAGTGGAGGCGGCACGTTCACACGGTTCTCTCACGGAGCACCGTCTACAGGCGGCGCGTTACAACACGGTTCTCTCATAGAGCACAGTCTACCGTGACCGGGTAAGGGGACAGGGTCTGTGCTCACTGAGCCACAGGAGGCCCTGCCAGCCTCGGCGTCCCTGTGTGCCCGGCAGACCACAGAGCACCTGGTGGAGCCTGGAGCTCAGGACATGGTGGGGGGTGGGAGGGCGGTAGGGCACTGACCAGAGCGTAGGCTGTGTCGTCCAAGTCCTCCAGCAGCTCCTCATCGGAGCCGTCCTCAGACCCTGTGTCCGGGTCCGAGAGGTCCGTGCCCGGCGCGTCGGCGTGGTCCAGCAGCCACCCCACCAGGGCCTCCACACCTGCAAGCACACACCCACCGTGAGCCCGGCGCCCCCCGCCCCGGCCTCGGATGTCAGCACCGCAAGGTCAGCCTGCACACAGGGCGCCGAGAGAGCCACGGGAACACAGCACCTGGCAGGCCGGCAGCGTTCCCTGAGGCGCCCGTGAGCGACTTCAGCGCGAGCTCGATGTTCCTCCTCGGGAAGCCCATCTCCATGAGCTGGACCACGATGGGGAGGGTGGGCACGGGCGACTGCCTCTGCTTCCTGGCTCTGATGGGGCGCAGGTGCTGCGCGGGCACCGGCGTGCTGGCCTCGCTGGAGCTGCCGTCCTCGAAGGCTGGGCTGGACGGGTGGGCACACTCCACGGCCAGATACTGGCACACGGCCAAGGCGGCGGCCTGTGGAGGAGCCGGGCTGTGAGGTCAGGGCTGCCGAGGGGACGGCAGCAGCACAGGATGGGGCTGAGCTCCACCCAGGGAGGCCTCCTCTCCCCGGGACACGGCCCCTCCCGACCTAAGGGCGGCCCACTGTGCGGGCTTCCTTCCGTCCTTCCTCCCAGCACCCCCTGCGCGCAGGCAGTGGGACACACACCCGCCGAGGCCACTTTGTCATCTAGGTTTTCAGACCTCACAGTGGTTGGCGTTCAGGCTGGTCACGGTGTCTTACCCCCCGGCACCCATCACGGGGGACAGTGTCCAGCCTTCCGGCAGGGCCAGAGGCAGCTGCCTGCTCGTGGGACCCGCTGCCGCACGGTGTCTTACCCCCCGGCACCCATCACGGGGGACAGTGTCCAGCCTTCCGGCAGGGCCAGAGGCAGCTGCCTGCTCGTGGGACCCGCTGCCGCAGGGGCCTCTGCCTGACAAAGTGAGCACCCACCCTTTGCTCTCGTCTCTGGTGCTTTCCCCGGGTTTTCTTACGAATGGCGAAATGGAAGTGTTTAACAAATCCAGTCTCCAGGAGAGGCTGGGCCACGCAGACCCGGCCCCGGTCCCCTCTCTGGAGGCCCCGCCCCAGCCGGCCCCGAGCTGCTGGGGGCACCAGGCAAGGGCCCGGCCGGGCAGTGGCCGAGCGCCCAGGAAAGGCGTTGGACAGTGGACCAAGCGAGCCAGGGCACCGCGCGTGGGCAAGGAGCTCCTTCCCAACAGCACTTCACCCCACCAGGGTGAAGCCCGTGAGCAGGGGGCGTCTAACCCAGGCTGCATCTGGTGGCTTCAAATAACCCGCACGAGTCCACAAGAAGGCTAGCTATCAACCCTGTGCTCTCGCCAGCCGTGTGCGGTCCCACGGCAGCCACCACTAGAGCGGACGCGTCCCGAGAGCTCGCCCACGGAGGGTGCAGGGTGGGTGTCAGCCCGTCCTGGTGTCGCCCGAGGCACAGACCCCAGGGAAAAAGGAGGAAGGAACCTGTCGGTGGGAAGACACACACTGGCCGGGCGAGAGCTGCCGGACCGGGTACCTCGAGCTCCTGCCGGGCGAAGACCGCCTTCACCGGCGACGGCTGGGTGGCCGCAGCCAGCAGCTGCTGCAGCAGGATCATCGGGGGCTGTGGGCCTTCGGGTGACATGTCCCCCAGGTCCGGGGACGCGGCTGCACCGTCGTCTGGATAGAAACAGAACACGCCCGACGTTAGAGGTCGTGCCTGAGTGCGTGAACCGATGGATTCCCACCCACCACAGGCCGGACCCACACCTTCAGGCTCAGAGCCCAGCCACCGCCGCCGCCGCCGCCGCCGCCGCCGCCGGAGAGCCTCCTGCTCTGGGCTCGGCCTTCCTGGCCCCAGTCCTGCGCCCGGACCCATCCTCTCTCCCAAACCGCCCCCTTTCAGCGCCCGCGCTGCTGAGACACCGCCCAGAACACTCCTGTGTTCTTCCCGCCCCGGCCCTTCTTGCTGACCCTTGACCCTCGTTCAAAACATGATTTTTCTACTGAAGAGCTCGCTCCAGAAACTGGAGCAGTCCTGAAAAGTTACAGTGAGTCGGCTGGACTCCCCCTGCACCTCGCTAAACAGAACTGCCATCGGACACCGTGCGTTTGTTTATATGATCATGTCCATGTTTCCACGGCAACAAGAGTGTGTGCGTGTGTGGTGTTTCATCACTGTGAGCAGCGTGAATGCACCACATTCGAGATGAAGCACTCCCCCCCAAAGCACCAGTGGCATCTGTACACGTGCACCTGTGTGCCTCTCCCTGGGACGCAGCCGGGTGGCTGCTGGTCAGTGGACACAGAGATGTGGGCAGGGAGCCCAGCCCTCCAGAGCCACAGCCGTGCTGGGCGCGTAGCCACCGCGGGCCTGGCTGGGCTGGCTCCACCTCTGGGGGCCTGAGGGTCTGTCTCTCACGTGCCCTGTGCCGTCATCAGCGCTGTGGGTCCCGGCCCCTCTAGTGGCGGCGGGAGAACCCTGCGCCCCTCCCTCCCTCGGACCCTCAGTCTTCGCTCAGGAGGCAGTGGCCACGTCGCTCCTGCTCGGCGGGGGCTGGCCGGGCGGCGCATCTTCCTCACCTCAGGGCCACCCCTGGCGCCTCCGGACACCCTGCCTCCCTCACCTACCTGCCTGCGCAGCGGCCTCCTGCACAGCGGGCTGGGCCAGGGTCTGCCGGAGCTGGTCCTGGTGGGGCAGCAGCGCGCGGCCCGCCTTCAGCACGTACAGCTTCAGCTGCTGGCGCCGCAGCAGGCCCAGGTCCACCGGGCCTGTGGGAGAAGGGTCAGCGGGCGCAGGGGGCCCAGCGCTGCAGGGACGGAAGAACCAGGGGAAGAACCCACGCATGGTGACCGGCCAGGGGACAGGCCAGTGATTCTGGACGTGTGTGGTGGACAAGCACGTGCCCTCCAGCCAGAGCCGTGGAGACTCAGAGGAGACGCTGGCCCGGAAGCAGGGCAGCCATGCCCGGCACGGAGCCCCTCCTGTACCTATCCCCCCTCAGCAGCACGCCCACGGCGCCACGCCCACTGTAACTCAACAGGGCTCCATCCGCCGGAGCCCCGAGACCGACGGCGCACTAACCTGCGAACCCCTGCTTGGGCGACTTCTTTATCTTGTGCTTTTCCAACCTGCTCCCAGCCAGGTTCACCAGCTGGGCCCAGACCGCGAGCATGGGGTCTGTGAAGGGCAGGCTGGTGATGCTGAAGGGCACGGCGGGGAGCTGGGGAGAGAGCAGGACCTTCACCAGGCGGCCCAGGGGACGGGGACGGGGACGGGAGCTGTCCTGGAAGTTATCTCAACCAGGGGGCTAATTCCCAAAGACCTCACGGGTCCATAGTCTTTTGACTGAAAGTAATTTTAAAAGATGATGTTAAAGCCCAGGCCGGTTTAGCTCAGGATAGAACATTGGCCAGCAGACTGAAGGGTCCCAGGTTCGATTCCGGTCAAGGGCACATGCCCAGGTATGGGCTCAATCCCCAGCAGGGGGCGTGCAGGAGGTAACCGATCCATGATTCTCTTTCAACATTGATGTTTCCATCTTTCTCTCCCTCTCCCTTCCTCTTTGAAATCAATAAAATATATTTCAAAAAGAAATCTCACGAAAAAAGGCCGACAAAGGAAAGATTCTCACATGTACAATAGATATGACCTAAGTTAACTTCTTTGTCAACAGAGATTCCATCAGGGTGGTGATGCCCCACGTAGCCTTTCCTGTGCCCTGCAAGTTACTGTAACACAACACGGTGTTATAGGAGCCCCAGGCGGCTGCAGCTTCGGGCCCAGCAGTACGGACACCTCCCTGTCCCTGGTCACTGATGGGAGGCGGCTTGGCTGCTGCACACACCCGTCCCCCACACCATCAGAAAGCACTCCCCACAGGAAGAGGCCTGGTGAGGAATCCTCCCCCAGCACTGCGAAGCCCAGCTGCCTCCCCGCCTCGCAAGGCTGTGCCAGGGGAGCTGCTGGTCGCCCGGCCTGTGGGAGCCCCACTCGCCCCGCGCAGAGCAGGCGAGGAGGCGGAAGAGGCTTTCTGTGGCGATGGCCTCGGGAAGGCGTCGCGAACTGCCGGCCCGCAGCCCCGACGCCAGAGCCCGTGCCGGCACGAAGCCCCTCCGCACGGCCGGCACCCGCGGTGCACCTACCGGTTTCAGCTGGCTCAGCGGGCAGACGCGGCACGTCCGCATGTCCGAGAACTGCACGGTGATCCTGCCCTTCGGGGTGATGCGCGTCACGGTGCCCTCCCCAAACTCCTCGTGCGCAACCTGGCCCCCCAGGCGCAGGCGGCCGTCGATGCCCCCGATGACGGCCAGCACAGCCATGAGGCCGCCCACCTCAGGGCTGTCCGCATCAGGGAGGCAGTCCTCCAGCAGGGCCTGGTGCAGACAGACAGACAGCACGCTGACAACGGGCCAGGGAGCGAGCAGGGCCAGTGCACCTGTCCTTTCCTGACTCCCATCACTATCCCCAGTCACAGCTGTCGTGAAACACGTCACTGAACAACACACAGCATCTTAAAAGGCAACTGGACGGCTAAGTAAGAGGACTAAGTAAGAGGATTCTAGGGCCACGCGCAGACGCCGGGCGGCACCCACCCCGCCGGCAGGCGTGGGCCCGCAGCTGCGCGACACGGCCTGCAGCTGGGAGTTGATGTGCTTGTTGATGAGGCCGTTCCACTGGCCCAGGGAGTGCAGCGTGCGCAGCAGGGCCACTGCCTCCTCCGCCAGCGTGCTGCTGTGCGTGGCTGTCAGCGAGGCCTGCGGCCGGGCCCTCCGCCTCCGCAGGGTGGACTCTGAAAGAAGCATAGCACAGGAGCTACGTGGCCCCGCACACCAGCCGGGCCCAGGACAGGACTCCGTGGCCCAGGACAGGACTCCGTGACCCCGCGCACCAGCCGGGCCCAGGACAGGACTCCGTGGCCCAGGACAGGACTCCGTGACCCTGCGCACCAGCCGGGCCCAGGACAGGACTCCGTGACCCCGCGCACCAGCCGGGCCCAGGACAGGACTCCGTGGCCCCGCGCACCAGCCGGGCCCAGGACAGGACTCCGTGGCCCAGGACAGGACTCCGTGGCCCCGCGCACCAGCCGGGCCCAGGACAGGACTCCGTGGCCCCGCGCACCAGCCGGGCCCAGGACAGGACTCCGTGACCCCGCGCACCAGCCGGGCCCAGGACAGGACTCCGTGACCCCGCGCACCAGCCGGGCCCAGGACAGGACTCCGTGACCCCGCGCACCAGCCGGGCCCAGGACAGGACTCCGTGACCCCGCGCACCAGCCGGGCCCAGGACAGGACTCCGTGACCCCGCGCACCAGCCGGGCCCAGGATAGGACTCCGTGACCCTGTGCACCAGCCAGGCCCAGGACAGGACTCCGTGACCCCGCGCACCAGCCAGGCCCAGGACAGGGCTCCGTGGCCCCGCACACCAGCCAGGCCCAGGACGGGGGCGCCCACCTCTGAGGAAGGGGACGTCCGAGGAGCAGGTGGTGAGCAGGCTGCCCAGGAACCCGAAGAGCTTCTCCACCAGCCCCTCCATGTCCTCGGCCCGCTCGGCCTTGTCCCACGAGGGCAGCACCGCTTGCAGGAGGTGTAGGGCCAGGATCTGTGCGGAATCAAAGGGCCGCGTTAGAGAAAACGCTGCCCGACACACAGGTGAGAATTTTATTTTCTCTTCACTGTCTATCCCTACAACGGGATTAACCATGTGAAGATTCTAACAGTCGTTATTTAACAGCCAAGGACACCCACGTTGATGAATGCTATGGGTGACCAAAGGTTAAGAAATAAACGTTACAGAGGCAGGTACTCGTTCAGTTAGGAAATAACTCCTCTCGCTTCACTCTCAAGACAACCCCCAGCTCCGACGAGCGGAAGAAGGAACGCCCGCCGACACCAACTCCCTCGGGAGCGGAGACCCATGGCCCCAGCTTCTGGGCCCTTCTGGTTGCGCCAGGGATGCTGCCCGTGCGAGAACCACTGCGCACACCAGTTAGGCCTCAGGTTGAACACGTCTGCTGTGCCGGTCACGCCCCTTTCTGCACCTGTGGAGCCGGGAGGGCTGGTGCCCTGATGCCACCCTGAGCCCCGACGCCACACCGTACCTGACGCTGCAGCGAGGCGGCCGTGAAGGGCGCGTGTCCCTCGACGATGCGCATGAGCAGGGCGATCCAGGGCGGGGAGCTGAGCGCGGCGCACATGTGGGGCGTGAGCGCGATGCTGCGCACGAAGCCCAGCGAGCACCAGCCGCGGTGCTGCTCCCGGCACACGGCGCTGTTGGGGGCGGCTGTGGGGACACGGGACAGACTGCTCGCTGGCTCTGAGCACTCAGCACTCGCTGCTAACCTGCCCGCCCGCCCTCTGCCACTGCACGCGCTCAGAGAAACGCGGAGGAGGCCCTCAGGCGTCTCAAGGAGCACCTCACGCCTGAGACCCTGGGAGGACAGGCGGTGCCCGCACAGGTGAGGAGCGGAGCCTGCTGCTCCTGGCCGTGGGGATGCTGACAGCTCACACGGCACGGGCAGTGGCGTGCACCCACTGTGACTTCTAAACGCATGTGCCCCCACGACGTCACTCCCATTTCACCTGCACACGAACGGCCAGGCCAGGTAGGAGGCGTCTGTGCAGCTGAAGGGGGTGACATCCTCAGGGCTTCGCCCACCTGAGCTCTGATGAGACGGCTCTGCCTCTCTGGGGTCTGGGTCTCCCCTCTCCCCTGCTCCCCAGGCCCAGCCCTCCTGCTCCCCAGGCTCACAGCGACACACACTCACACACCCACCTTCACAGCCACGCTCACATCTCTACCAGCCACACACTCACACACATTCATAATCACACAAACATACCCAGTGACTCGCACATACCCTCTCACTCTCACACGCACAGTCTCTCATAACAAACTCACACACTCAAATGCACACACACATGTGCGGACATAACACACATGTGCTTGCGCACACATGCACATGTACAACAGGTGCACACACTCATGTGCACACACACACACCACACACTCACACGCACTCACACAACCACTCGCTGACATCGTGGCCCAGCCCTGCCCTCAGCCCGTGCGTACGTGTCGTGTCCGTGGTCCCACTCTCCACCACCACGCGCAGCAGCCCGCACAGGGTCCTGGTGGCCTCGCCCTGCATGACCTCGGCGTGGACCCCGGCGGAGAGACACAGGGTCTGCAGCAGGCGCACGGTGCTGGTCAGCATCATGGCCGTGGGGTGCATGTTCCTGTCGGCGGGCTCAGCTTCTGAAAACAAACCACCCAGAACAGGAAATCGCCTGCAGAGCTCAGGGTGCGTCACGTCCCGGTTCTGCTCCTGGGAAGGGCCGCTCGCTCTGCAGGAGGCGGCGCGCCTCCCGTGCAGCCGCGACCCAACCACCGCCGCCCGCCTTCTGCAGGGAAAACCAGCTTCCAAAATCGTGAAACGTGTAAAACCGCCTCAGCAGACAGCTCAGCGCTGAGACAACGGCGAGGACCCGCTCCCTTAGGAAGCGGCTTCCCATATGCCCCACGCCAGCTGCGAGGCAGTGAATGCCTGTTCCCCGAGGGCCGGGGCTCTGGGACGAGAGGCATGGATGGCCACCTTCCCCTCTCGGGGAAGCCCCGGGGAGCTGGGGGGCACCCGTCCGACACTGCAGAGCCCGGGCGGGCCCTCGGCTCCATGCTGCCCGAGCCCAAGGCGGCACGGTCTGCACCGAGGGCCCGTGCCCAGCACGCAGAGCACAGCCCGGCTGACCCCACCCCCCACCTCTGCTGTGTGCAGACATCCAGGCTCCCCTGACCACGAGAGTCCCTCAGAGGCCGACCCCCTGCACACGCGCCGGCACCTGAGCTGCACCCCAGGGCTGACCCCCTGGACCCCCGCACTCACCTGAATCGTCCTCTGTGTCTGAGTCCTCGGCCGAGGGCTGCGCAGAGGCCGGCAGCTCCGCCAGCTTGAGGTCGTACTTGCCCTCCTTCCCCATCCGGTAGGAGTTGGTGCTGCCCGTGTCCCACTGCACCCGGATCCACCCATCCTCGCCCAGCTCCCCAATCACACGGCCGAGGCCGGGAGGGGGTCCGTCCTGCGGGGCGACACAGAGACCAGTGAGGAGGTGCGTGCGGCCTGTCCCATGGACACCGCTGGGAGGGCGGCCGCGTCCCTGCACAGACTCCTGCCCACGACGGCTCCAACCTGGCTGGCCACATGCATCGCTCACAGCACCCCCGACGGAACGCCAGGCCGGCCCCAGAGGTGAGCAGGGTCTGCAGCCACCACAAGGCCAGGCTATCCAGCGGTCCTGGAGCCTAGTCCTCGGCCCCTCACGAGGCATCACAAGACGGGAAACCCAAGACCAGCAGCTGCATCTCCTCTGACGGCTGGCACTGCACCACCAGGAGCCCAGGCCCAGGCCTCCTCTGAGCAGCACCTCCTCACAGCCCACCCTGTGAGAGGCGTCCCTACGCAGGACATGGTTCCTCTACTCGTCCTGACTGTGCATCATTGGCCATTGACAGCTGCCACCTGCCGGGCACCCGCCTGCTCTCCTCCCCTCGCACCGCGTGAGCCAGTCAGGACTGCAGAGCCGACCGGGCGGTGGCTGCGCCTTGCACCCTGAGTACCTGGTCGCCCCACTTCCAGTCCACGCCCCGCATGACCCTGGTTCCGATCTTCATCATGGCGGCCAGCTCGGGCCCCGAGACCGGGAGCTGCGCGGGCGCCGTGTCCTTCCTCGTCTCCTCCAGGACGGTGGCAGAGGCGCCACGGGCAGACACGTTCCCGTCTTCCTCCACGTGGTCGCCGCTGGGGCCTGCAGGGCAGAAGGGCAGCCAGTCAGGTCCTGCAATTTCCTCACCTCCGCCCATTCCCGTCGTTAACAGACATGAAGGTGGTCACTACAGAACCCAAGGGGGAGGGCAGGAGATCAGCCACAGGGCTCGTGTGCACGCACTTGAGCACGGCCAGTGGACAGACAGTGGGGTGAGGGCACGTGTGGGGGTGGAAGCGGCCGGGGAGAGGTCAGGGGGGGAAAGGAGAGACGTAATATTTAAACAATAAAGAATCCATGGTGTGTAGTGTTCGTTTTTGCCGCTACGTGTGGAACTCGCTACAACAGCCTGACTGCTTGCTCAGAGAGTCGGGGCATGAAGAACAGATGGCCCTGGGGCCCTGGAGTCGGCCACGTACGACCAGGGGCTGAGTGTTTGGAGAAGCAACGCTTCCCAGGACTCGAAAGCAGCAAGCCCAGCCCAGGAGGGGCGGCCGGCCCCTGCCGCCTGTGGCCTTGCTGGCTATGGAGGGAGGGGAAACGTTGGGGAAAAGGGGGGACACAAATGACTAAAACCATAGGAGACCGTGGCGACCACGCCTCTGCTTCTGCAGACACGGGACTGAGGGCGCCGGGAGCGCTGGGCCAGCACCTGAGCAGACCCGGCACCATGGCCGAGGGCCTAGAAGCCCAGCCAGTGAACGGACTCAGGGAGAAACAGGAAGTGTGTGCAGACCTACATCCCCAGGAAAGAGGTTGTGTCCCAACAAAGAAAAGCCCAGGACCAGGCGGCTTAATGCTGAATTCCACCGGACGCTTAAAGAATTGATGCCAATTCTCTAACTCGCCCAAACAGGGCAGGGCACCCCTCCCCCTCGCCCAGGAGGCTGGCGTCCCCCGACATCAGTAGGCGGTGCAGTGCTGCTCGGAGACGGAGCGAGTGCTAAGTAAGCACGCAGGCGCCCAGGCTCGGAGTGAAAGGCGAACGCTGCCGAGGGGCGATGCTCCCCCCACGTCCACAGATGCAGCACGGGACCCAGAACCCCCGAGGCCTGTGCAACAGGGACCCCATCCCGAAGCCGATCCCTCCTCACCCTGAGCGACAGTGTGCGCCGCAGTGCGGCCCTGGCCTCAGACAGACACGGACCAACGGGAGGGAACTGAGCTCCAGGAGGAAGCCTGAGCACCCGGGGCCAAAGGTTCTGACAAGGGTGCCCAGCCCCTGGGAAGGGGCGAACCTTTGGTACCGAAGGTGCCGGACAAGACACCACAACAAGCTAACGACAGAGGGGCCGAGAGGCACCCAGGCGGCGCCGACCCACCGATGAGCCGCAGCGCGGTCTGCGCCAGGGCGAGCGTGCCGGAGTTGAGCAGCAGGGTGAGGTTGTGCGCGCCGTGCTGCAGGGTCAGCAGGCTGAGCATCGCCAGCAGGAAGCGCGCGTGGGGGGTGGTGCCCAGGCTGGGTCCCGCCGGGTTCTCGTTGGTGACCGTCTGCAGGGGGACGGGCTGGATCCCTGAAAGGCATCGGTGCGGCCTCAGTGGCTCAGCGTGGATACAGAACACACTGACGCAGAGAGCATTCGCAAGTGTTAAAAAACCCTGTTTTCCAGGTGGGAGAGGGCAAGGGGGGGGGGGCGGGGGACACACATGTAGAACTTTCAACAATAAAGATTTTAAAAATTTCTGCTTTCCAGTGGACAGCGGGAGCCCGTGCTTCTGTGGCAACCCTGCCACCCTGACTCCGCGTAGCCACCCCACCTGCTACAGAGCGTACAGCACCCTCCTCAGCACCCTGTGGCCACGCATCCCCTTTCAGCTAGAACAGGCCCTCCCCACAGCGAGTCCTGGCCTCTCGCAGGCGCATGGCACCCGCCAACACTCCAGGGTGGATGGTGGCAGTGACGCACGGGAAGCTGTCTATGAAGACGCTACAAGACTGTGTCTTCTGCCCAATTCTGAAAGTTTTGTTTCACATCCGAGAAAGCGTGCAGCAGCTTAGATCACATTCTAACGTACAAAGTGATTCACGTCTGTCCCAGAGCAAACGTCGGCACCTGCAAGTTTCCACAGCCCGTAACGAGGAGCCACACCGTGAGCCCTGCTCGTGTGGTCCCCGAGTCACCTCTGCAGCGATTCAATGCTGTCTGTGAACCGGGAAGTCCTCTTAAACTCACCAAGCTCTTTAAACTTGGCGTTTGCATCCATCAAAATGTTCCGAATGTTCTGAACAGCCCAGGCGTACAGCTTGCCGAACGTGACTTCCAGCAGCATCCGATTAAAAGGTGGGATCAAATCCACGTCCTTTAAGCAATCCGTGAGAGGCTCCCTTCCAGAGAGAGAGAGAGAGAGAGAGAGAGAGAGAGAGAGAGAGAGAGAGAAAGAGACTGCTTAGACGCCTGCCAGACCTTCAACCTGAACAGAACAAGGTGCTGCCCGCCCCCCCCCCCCCCCCAACTAGGAAGACTCAGCGGTACCCCAGGTCGACGCCCTCCGGGATGAGCCGCTGCCACCCGCAGAACACGGCGTACTGCACAGACGGGAGCAGGAAGCTCTTGGCCGCCAGCTTTAAGATGGTGTCGATGCCCTCCAGGCGGACCTCTGCTCTCTCCAGCTGCAAGACAGCGTGCGGCGGTGAGTGTCGCCCGCGGTGGGTGTGGCGGGGCCCGGGCGCGGCCGGGAGGGCGCTCCCTGCAGGATGTTACCTGTTTGAGCAGGCACTTCCTCATCTTCTCCACATCCACGGGCTCCTCCCTGAGGGCGAACTCGGCGATGGTGCCCAGCAGAGCCGACTGCGGGGGGAGGCCCTGCGCGCTCTGCTTCAGCCACTTGTACCTGTGCACGCCAGCGACGGTGCTCAGGAGCGGCTGCCACTTGTCCTGCAAAGGAACCGCGGGCGGGCACGTGAGTCCCCGCTGCTGTCGCCCCGGCTGCTGCTGAGGCAGCGGCTCCAGCAAAGGCAGACACAGAGGCCAGCAGGCCTAAGGGGTGAAAGAGCCAGGCCACACCCAGGCTTGTAAGTGAATTCCAAATCCCACACTCAGGCATTTTGGAAAGAGGGAACTGGGCACACAGTCAGTGACCAGCCACACGAATGGGACCAGGACAGGGAAGCCAAGGAGACATTCGGTGAGTGAGTGAGTGAGTGAGTGAGGATAAATAATGACCAATGTGCTCCTGAACCAGCGGTTCTCAACCTGTGGGTCGCGACCTCTTTGGGTCATGAACGACCCTTTCACAGGGGTCGCCTAAGACCATCGGAAAACACATACATGATTACATATTGTTTTTGTGACTAGTCACTATGCTTTAATTATGTTCAATTTGTAACAATGAAAATACATCCTGCATATCAGATATTCACATTACAATTCATAACAGTAGCAAAATCACAGTTATGAAGTAGCAACGAAAATAATGTTATGGTTGGGGGTCACCACAACATGAGGAACTGTATTAAAGGGTCTCGGCATTAGGAAGGTTGAGAACCACTGTCCTAAAGGGAAAGGAAAGCCCTGGCTGGTGTGGCTCAGTTGGCGGGGCGTCATCCCATTGACCAGGTTCAATTCCTAGTCAGGGCCCAAGCCTGGGTTGTGGGTTCGAGGTGGCGAGGCAATGGATCGACGTTTCTCTCTCACATCGAGCTTTCTCTCTCCCTCTCTCTCCCTCTCTCTCTCAATGAAAGCCCTCAAATGAGGGGTTTTTTTTAAAAAGGAAAAAAGAAGTACTTCTCCAGGGATGGATCCAACGAGGGCACCACCAGGCAGGCGTTGCTGGGGCGGCTGCCACACACTCACAGCCGTG